GGCAACTGGAGTTCCAGGTCCGCTGGCTGGTGCCAGTCAGGAACAGGCGCTGGGGTGTGCGCAAGAGTTCTGTGTGGGGGTGGCAGGACCTGCGGGTGTTGGGATGAGCAGCGTTTCTTCCCGGTCCCTGTCTCACCGCCAGCAAAAGAAAGGAGGAGGAGGGGGAGGAGAAGTGGAAGAGAGAGGAGGAGGAGGTAGAGGAGGAGGGAGGAAAGAAGAGGAAGAAGAAGAAGAAAGAAGAAAAAGAAAGCAAAGAAAGAAACAAGGGAAAAAGGAAAAAATGATAGGGACGTTGGGTCATAAAAAAGAAAAAAACTGAAAATCTCAGTCCGCCGGGCCAGGGCTCCACAGCGCCCCGCTGTGGGCGGCGAGGACAGTGCCGGGCGGGGCTGGCGAGCGCGGGCGGAGCAGGGAGGGCGGGAGGACTCTGCGAGTAGCACCTGGGAGGAGCTCGGCCGCACCCGTGTCGCCGCCGGGCCCGGGACCCCCGGACCCCTAGAGCGGACTCAGCAGCCCAGGCGGACGGCTAGCCCGAGCAGCAGCAGGCATCCGAGCAGGGTGTCGGGGCGCGGGGCGGTGCCTGGCGCGCGGTCACAGTCCGGGCCACCGTCATCAGCGAGGTCGCAGCGGGGCTGCTCGCAGCGCACGCCGGTGTAGCCGGGCGGGCAGGTGCAGCGCTGGTTCTGCAGGCAGGTGCCGCCGTTCAGGCAGAGCAGCTGGTCGTCGTCGCACACGTTGGCTGCGGGCCGGAGGGGACAGTTGAGGCAGCTGTGGGGAGGGACTGAGCTTCTGCAATGGGCAGCTGGGTCCCCCTCCCCCATGCCCGAGTGGGGCTCGCGATGCTTAGGACGCACACCATGAGAAACATCCCCTGCTGGTGGGGGGGGGACCCAGCCCCTGCCTGTCTCCCTTCAGTGAGCCCACTCTCCCCAGTTCCTCCCGGGCAGTGGCGCGGCTCTCCGGGAGCACCTGCTGTCTGCCTCCAGGGCTTTGCCTACTCTACCGCAGGTTCCTGGAGCGCTCTCCCAAACTATGTCCCTTGGGTCTCCAAGCCTTCATTTCTTTAGCGCAAACTGCAGCGCCCTCAGCCAACTCCAGCCAGCTCCCCTTCAAGCCCTCAGCTCCCCTCCTTGCAGGCTCCCACTTGCCACGGACTCCGCCCACTGAAGACCTGACAATACCCACTTGAGCCCCACCCACCCACTTGGAACTCCTCCAGGTTGCATCAGGCCCTTCTTGTTGCAGCCACTTGCTAGAAGCCCACCCCAGGCCGCAGTAGACCCACGTAGGCCCCTCCCACCATGCTGGACCCCTCCCCCGGCCTGAAGGCTCCACCCTCAGGGGCTGGTCTACTCACGGTAGCATCCCTGGCGCCAGTAGTGCGTGGGAAGGCAATCGTCGCACTTGGGCCCCACCGCGCCCTCCCGGCACTCACAGAAGCCTGTCTCGTTGCACCGGTCGTGCACAGAGCCGATCTGGTTACAGTTACATTCTGGGGGAGGGGAGGGGGCGGAGAGAACAAGTGCATGGGGCACGTGCAGTCAGAAAGGCCTGTGCGCGCCTTCAAATGAGTCCTGCCCCAGGCCCAACCTTTATAGCCCGTGTTTATGTATCTCTTAGCTGGGTCTCGGCGCTCCCTGGAGATGCTCCCTACAAGAGAGCTCGTGGCTGCGCTGCAGTGGGGACGGACTGCTGGGGCATCCACATGGCGGGAGAAGGCTCTATAGTTTTTCCTGGCATCCAACACCCTTTTCCTCGTCCCACTGTGAGGCCTGGACCAGTCCCATCCCCCTCTCTGCACAGCTGAAAGGGGCTGATTCTTTACAATCCCAGACTAAGAGTGTGACAGGTGACAGGTGTCTGTCCAGGAGGCTGTCTTGTGTGTGTTACCCTCCCCCGCAAGGCCGGAGGAAGAGCAGCTAGAGGCTTACCTCTCCTCCCAGCCTGCCCTAGCTGGTTTGGGGGGAGGGGGAGTGTGTGTGTGTGTGTGTGTGTGTGTGTGTGTGTGTGTGTGTGTGACTGTGTGTAGGGTCTGTGTGTCCCTGACCCCCAGTCCTTGAAGCCCAGTGCTTGGCCTGAGACGGAGACACAGACAGACAAGGAAAAGGGGCACCTCTAATCACATTCAGAGGCCCTGCCCTGTCCCTGCAGCTGGCCCTGTGTGACACTGGCAACACAATTCTGTTTGATCACTTTAGAGCTGATGGAATTATCTGAAGGCCTCAGCCGTGATCCAGAGTGACAGCTCTAGCTTTGCAACTGAGCGGGCCAGGTGGTGCTGCTGGTGGGGGATGGGCAGTGGTCCTGCTGGCTGCTGGCTAGGATCAGCAGCTCGCAGGCCTGAGACCTGGCCCCTGCTGGAGCCAGGCCAGGAGATAGGCAGTCCTGACAGTCCTTCTATGCTCCTGGGTGTCAGTTGGGGGCTATGGGTTTGGCTTTTAGGGTCTGTCCCCTGTCCAGGCCCAAGGAGCACCATGGGACTTCTCTCCAGAAAATCCGATGCTCGAACAGAACACAGGAAGAGTGGGTGCCTATGAGGGCAGGCACAGCTCTATAAGGCTGGCTCTGAAGATGCGCAGGACAGTTTCAACAACAGAAGAGAGAGAGAAACCACTCACCTAGTCCACCCCCCAGCTTTCTGAGCCCAGAGAGGACAGAGGATGGGCCAACTGTGCACAGCAAGCCTTCACTCTTAACTAGTGCCTCTTTGTTTCCAGTGCCCATGCAGAGTTGGGGGTCACCGCAGCAGATCAAAGGGCTTCTGTCCCCAAAGATGCTCAGATGAGGAGGGCCTCCCCCTGGAGTGTCTGTCCCTCCCCGCCCGGGTGACTCCTCCGAGGGGTCTTGAGACCCAGCCCGCAGCTGGCGCTCACCAATGCAGACATTCTCATCGTCCAGCTCGGCAGAGCCGTTCCGGTAGTAGCCTAGACGGCAGTGCTGGCAGTGCTGACCCCTGGTGTTGTGTTTGCAGCTGACGCACGTCACCACGTTCAGGAAGTCGATGTAGCTGCAGCGGTTGGAGTGGCCGTAGCACTCACAGTCTGGACCAGCCGAGTGAGAGAAACACCAGTGGTCAGTGAGCATTTGGGGGAAACTGAGGCATGCAGAGAAGGACACACCCAAGAACATATAGAGGGAAGGTTGGGGGAGGCATCTTTGGGAGAAGGATCGGGAAGGGGCTCCAGGTCAGGACGTGATAAAGCTAGCTGGGCCAGCTTTGAGTCCCCAGGAGGCCTGTGGGCAGGGACTTGGGGAGGCTAGGGCATGCTAACACCTGACTGGTGTCAGAGCAAAGTGCTGTCTGAAGGATACCCGTGTGCTGGGGCTGATTAGCAGTTGACTCATGCAAGGGGGTGGGGTTGTGCTGCAGGCCAAATTTGCAGAGGGCAGTGCCGGAGTTCCATGTTTTCCATGGTCCCCTCAAAGACCCATGGATGAATAGAGTCATCCACAAACGTGGACATGATGGAATGGGACAGAACCTTCCTCCCATGCTGCTTTGGAAGAGGGAAATTGACTACTGTCCCTGGCCCTGGAAGTCCCTGCAGGACCCCTTCTTACTAGCCAGAACTCCCAACAAGCTTGATGAGCACAGTATTGCTCAGCAAGACCCTGAGCATTATCCCCTGGCTTCTTCTGGTCCCAGCCCAGCTTTTGAATCTCCTTGCTTAGTTCAAACCAAAGGAAGCTACCTCTGAGCCATTGTGGGACCAGTCACAATGCCTCCAAGTATTTTTGGTTTAGTTGTTTTGAGACGGGCCTCGTGTAGCTCAGGCTGACTTTGAACTCAATATGTAGCTATGATGGATGACCTTGAACTCCTGACCTTCCTACCTCCACCTCCTGGGGTTACTGGTATACAAGAGTTAGTGCTGTGCTGGGGCTCCAGCCCAGGGTTTATTCCTGTGTACCAGGCAAGCGCTCTACCAACCAAGCCACCTCTCCAGACTGCCACACGCATTTCTTTTCTTTTTTTCCTGAGACAGGGCTTCTCTGTGGTGTAATGGTCCTGGCTGTCCCGGAACTTACTGTGTAGACCAGACTGGCCTCGAACTCACAGAGACCCACCTGCCTCTGCCTCCCGAGTGCTAGGATAAGAGCGTGTGCCACCATGCCTGGCTCACTTGCAGTTCTTAGGTTGATTTTCCAAATTCTACTCCCATGACTGCCTGGGTCAGGGCTCCTAGGAGCTGAGGTGGCAGAGGTTAATGTGGAGGGTCTCTTTCCCTTCTGCAGGATGGCTCATCATTATGGGTCCCTTCTAAGGGACTCAATACCCCCATGCCATTGAACATGAAAGCTGGCCACCATCTGAGCCGCTGTCCCTAGAGGACTTCAGTCCTAACCCCTTCTATTTCTCTTTTTGTTTACTGAGACAGGGTTTCTTTGTGTAGCACTGGCTATCCTGGAACTAGCTCTGTAGACCAGGCTAGCCTTGAACTCACAGAGATCTGCCTGCCTCTGCCTCCTGAATGCTAGAATTAAAGGTAGGTGCCACCACCGCCTGGCAGCTCCCTCTCTCTGTGATGAGCAGGTGCTGATCTGGTCCCCATATGGTTAAAGACACAGGAGACCCTGGAGAAATGCCTTTGAGATACGTCTAGGAGAGTGGTGGGTCTCCTGACCCATGGGTCTGCCTGACCTGTCCCTTCACCTGGGCCCTCCAGAGACATCGAGGAGGTGAGGCATCCTCCAAATGCCCCCAAAGAGCATTGCCAGTGACCTGAGTGTCCCAGATTCCACTCCAACCAAGACAAGCCCCTGGGCCACACCTCCCAGGGGAGCCAGGTCAGGCTATTTGTGGCGGCAGCTTCCCCTGCCATGTGCCTGCCCACTGTGCTTGAGTTGGCTTCTGACTCATCCCTGCTTTCAGCTCCCTTGGGGCCGGAGCTGCTTAACCTTGACCCAGCTATTCTGGGAGGGTTCTCTGAGTTGGCACCGACTAGCTCTGTCCTGCCTTGTTTTTCTCCAGTGAACTGGGGAAGAGGTGGGAGGCCAGGCCCAGGTCATCTTACCTTGAAATTCTTCAATGGGTATCACTTGAGGAGATCTGGGCTTGAGCTGGAAAAGTGTGGAGCCCTTAGCTTGAGAGGGGACAGCAGCCGAGAGAGCCACAGCTTAGAGAGATGAGAAACAAGTGCTTACACCTGCCATGGTCCATCCACCAGGGCAGGCCATTTGCACCCAAGGAGACCAAGACTTGTGAGTGCCTCCTCAGGCTGGCACCAGGCAACCCTTTCAACTGTTCACATTTGAAGCAGGGAGAGACCACAGGGTCCTCAGGAGTGGAGTGAGATTCTTCTCAGAGTCCCAGGTTGAAGCCTTGTAGCGATGAGCGCATACCCACTGCCTCTGGTCCCCCAGGACACCTACCCATCTGCTGGACCAATCCTCAAATACCTTGCCCCTCTCCTAACCCCCCTCCCGGTACTAAGGCATTTGCTGTCACTGAGAGATATTTGGATGATTGAAAGCAAATGTCACTGCCCTTCTGCTCTCTCCCTCTGTCCCCCGAACTCCCCTGGTCATCAAATTCTGAGTCTAAACCTGGCATTAAATACTGCATCTTGGGGCTAGAGAGATGGCTCAGTGGTTAAGAGCACTTGTTGCTCTTGTAGAGGGCATGAATTCAGTTCCCAACACCCATGTGTCAGCTCTTAACTGTCTGTAGCTCCAGTTACAGAGTTCTAGAGGGTCCACCACCCTCTTCTGACCTCCCTGGACATCAGGCACACATGTAGTGCACGTACATACGTATAAGCAAAACACTCATACACATAAAATAAATATTCTTAAACAGTTTTAAGACTCCATCTTATTCCCTTCTGAGGACAGCTTTCTGTTCCAGCTAGGGTGGGTCCTTTGCTGTCCTTGGATGTGACTCACAAGTGTCATTAAGCCAAGAATGTAGGCAGTCCTCCCTTGCCTGGAATTCCGTCAATGCCTAACCCCATTCTTAGAGGTGAGCATGCTACTACCTCAGAGGAATCAGTCTCTGTGCTTCCTTCTAGGACTTTCTGGCTTTTCAGTGGGGCTGGAGCAGGAGATGACTAGTGCATTCGTTACTAGAGAGGATTGTTGTTTGAAGGACCTCTAGGATGCTAGAAGCCAAAGTGCCAACCCTCCCTAGTTGTGTAATAAATTGCCAGCAGAGGGCGCTCAAAGCCTGGCTCATTCATCCCTGGGGCTGGAGGGGCGCCTGAGGTGTTTGATGGGATGGGGCAAGAATAGGACTGACAACAGGTCATCTGGGGGCAACTGAGGACAACCTTCCTTCTCGAAGAGGAGCTAGCTCATGAACATCCGCATATGACTACAGATGAGCCCTCTCCTGGGTGTTCCCCTGCAGCTGACCTGGTCCTGGCGGGCTTCTACGTGGCTCACACCCTCATTTAACTGGCACTGTCCACTGTTAGGCTAAGTCTTTGCCTCAGGCTTCTCCTGCCACCTTTATTTATTCACAAACACCCCTATTCTGAGCCCTACCAGCTGCCCAGGTACCCTGTGAGCCCCACATCGTGAGGAGGGAGAGGAGGGTTCCTTCTACGTACTCTGAAGCCCTTGGGGAAGGTTTAGAGACATTGCCTCCCGGCTTCCGCTGTGGACAGAGTTGGGAGTGAGGGTGAGGGCAGCTGCCAGGCCCTTTACCCCATTGCTTTGACTCTTGAAGTCTCTCTCCCACTTCTTTTAGTTCTTGGGGTCCCCTCCTACCCAAGTCCCACCATATAAGCCTGCTACCCCTACTACAGAGGGAGGGGTCCAAGGGTCTAAGATGGAGCTTCCAGGGTCTCAGGCCTGGCATAGGCCCTGCCCCCATACCTTCTGCACTGGTGGACACTTGGGGCCAGAGGGAGCTGTCCCCAAGTGGGGTGACAGCAGGTGACTTGGTCTGCCCTTGAGAGGAAGAAGAGAAGAAATCAAGTCATATGAGGGATGGTGCCCCCACCCTCCCAGAAGCCCCTGTAAGAAGCCACACTACAGGCTCTGTCTACATTGGCCAAAGGACCTGGCTCCAAATCGACTAGAGAGGCAGCGTCTACACTACAGCAGCCTGCAGAGGCGTGCACGCGCTAGAAGCCTGACGAGAGGAGGCCCCCATGCCTGAGGCTCTGTGGGCTTCCATAGTCCTTCCTTCACTGGGGCACAGCCTTCAAAGACTCTTCCCTCTCTGTGTGGTTTCTGTTACAACTTAAGGGCCAATCAGAACAAGTCCTGTGTGTGAAACCTCAGGCTAATGAAATGCTGGAGGACAGTGTCCTGGCCAGGATGCTAGGCACATTGAGAAAGGTTCTAGAAGGTTCCCCAGAGTGTCCTCCGATGTCTAACTCGCCTTTCTGATCACTGCCCTTCCACCTTCTGATCCTTGGCTTGAGGAGTAGGGGACCTCATCATGGGTCACCAACTCCTCCACCCCCAACATGCAGTTCCCAGAGCTGGACACAAAGCAAAGCGTACAGGCAGCAATCACTGCCAGATTCGAAGGACAGAACTGGGAGAAGGTTGTATGTGTTGCCGGGGTAGGGGTAGGGGGGGTAGACAGGGGGGAGCTGATGCCTTCCCTTTTGGAAATGGATTACCCATGGTGGTTGATGGAGGAAGAAAAAGAAATTCTAACAGTTAAAAACGGCGGGAGATTCCCAGCTGGGAGCCTGGAGCCTTTGGACATCAAATTGACATTAATATGGTATTCAATGAAGAGACAAGGCCGCAGGACCCAAATTGGCAAGGGCTTAATTAGAGCCCTGGTAAATCCACCCCTAAGGCATCTTGCTTCTGAGCTTGGCTCCCCCCACCCCCACGAGGAGGCTGGGAAGGATTAGGCGCTTCAGCCTGGCTTCCAGCACAGAGCTGCCTTCCAGACAGCTTGACATTGGCAGGAGAGACATCTGGGGTTCGGATTTCAAGGCCCGGCTGGGCTGTAGCCACAGAGGTCTGAGAACCTGGTGGAAGGTGCTGGGTCCAGGAAGAGAAAGTTTCTGCCTGGGTTTTTCTGGGACGTGCTCAGGTGTCCTGTGTTGTGTGCCAAAGGTCCCGGGACCAAGAACCCATGCTAGTGAGGTCTTAACGGCTGGACCACTTCCAAGCACCTGAGACTTCAGGGCAGTAGTCCCATGTGGTAGAAGGGGCGGGGAGTGAATGGAGTCAGCCTTGTGCTCCAGCTTGGCCTGTGTGTTTCCTGGAACCCTGGGAAGCTGTTTCTTCTTTTTGTTAAAAAAAAAAAAAACAAAAAAAACCCAGCTTTATTGAGGTATAATTTGCATGCCATAGCTGCAGGAACTTCTTCCCAAGCCTCAATCCCCTCCCCAAGTGAGACTAGCAAGAGAACACTGTGTAGCCAGCCAGACACCTGAATGCAATTGGCATGCAGACCGAAGGTATGCCAAGTGTTCCAGACTCTGGGTACAGGCTTCAGTGGCCACGCAGGAACTAAGGATGTCTTAGGTGAGAAGGTGCAGGCTGCTGGCTGTTACCTTAAAGCCACCTCCTTCCCTTAATGCTCAGCCATCCAGCACAGGGCTCAGAATGTAGATCTGACACTCATTGGGAGTCTGGTATTGCAGTCTGGAGGATGGGTATGCCACCTGCTGACTAGCAAAATCCCGGAGTCAGCCAGCCGTGTGCTCCAGGAGGGCTCTTACAACCCAGACCCCGTCCTTCTTACAACCCAGACCCCGTCCTTCTTACAACCCAGACCCCGTCCTTCTTACAACCCAGACCCCGTCCTTCTAGAGAGACCTCACTGGGCTCCCTGTCTTCTTACATTTAACTTCCAACTTCAGTCTGTCCCACACAGCTTCCAAGTGGGTGCAAGGTCCCTAGGTACCTGACAGACAGTGCCTATCCGCCCCCACCCCCTGCCCGGGGACCACTGATCAGTGGCAGACAAAGCAGCCCGCCCTTTCCTGGATATTTTTGCTCCCCTCTGTCCTTCACAGGCTCAACAAAGTGCAAAGGTCTCCGGAGACAGCTAGGCCTCAAAGCCTGGATTCCTCCACCTCAGAGAGGTTCCTGGCATCAGCAGGTTTCCTCTGAAACTCTTCATCTCCTGATCCAGTCCCCATAGAGAGGAGAGGTTCAGAGAGAGAGCTGTGGTGTGGTCCTGGTGAGGTGACTTTCTCAAGGCTGTCAATGGACCTGGAGGGGCCACCCTGCGCAGCAGACAGAGACAAGATAGAGTGTGGGGTTGATCCCCAGCTGCTGGAGGGATCTCTGTCCTCAGATGTCACCTGCCAGGGGCAAGGAGTGTCTAGGCAGGGGCAATGGATGAGAGAGAAGAAAGGTCCAAGGAACAAGGAGCCTCCACCGTGTCTTCCTGAGGAGGGTGGGGAGGGATGTGCTACCGGATCTAGAAGAAGGTTACTTGGCCGCCATCTTGCTGGTACCCTCGGGGAGGAGGAATCTTTAGATTCCCAGCATCTGCAGTGGACTAGACCTGGCAAGACTTTCCCACATGAGTCCAGAGGGCCACACCAGGATCCCACGCCACTTGCATGCACAAATCCTGCTTTGGGAGAGCAAACAGCCACTCAAGTCTGTAGTGGGCAGGCCCGAGTGTAGCTGCCCCTGTGGTCCCAGCTGTGAGGTAGGAAGGTGGCCTGGGCTTGTCTCTGCTCACAAATGTTTAGGAGTCTGGTTCCTCGCAAGGTTCCTCCTGCACTGATCTCCCTCACTAATTGGGCTCTGTTCTCCCCACTGGCCAGCACCTGGACAGAGGACCTAGGAGACAGCCAGGTAGAGACAGAGCCTGAGTTAGCTCCATCGATGGATGACAAAACACGTCTGAGTGACAAGGCACCATTTCTGACTGACTATCCAGGTGGACTTGCTGCCATGGGCACTCTCCTACAAGGTCCCCTGTCTCCTTGGCTACACTGGCCTCTGGACCCTTCTTTAGCATGCTTGGAGGAACAGGAAGAAGATTATTCCAGGAGCATCAGTGGTTGCCTTGGCTAGGCCACCTGACTGGGACGGTTTCCTGAGATGGCCTGGGGACCTCCTCAGCCAGTGCTTTAATGGGGCTAGGATGCTAACAGTTTCTACTCTAAGAGGCAAGCAAGTGTCTGCTCTTCTCTGGGTGAGGGGGGAAAGAAGTCAGGGAGCGGGCATCCCTGGGTGTATTCTCATACCTACCTGTGGGCTGTGGGGTGCTGGGGACTGTAAGGACTTGGATGGTAGATGTGGAAGGGGTAGAAGTGATAGGGCCCCTCCTTGTGGCCTCAGGGGCCATAGGGACTTTGTGGGCAGGGCCTTTGCTGGACCTGCTGGTACCTGGCAAGACATGGAGAAAGCCAGAAAGGATGGAGTAGGGACATCCTAGGGAAGTCTTCACTTGCTTTGATGTTGGGGGCAAATACCAGCCATGCCTGCAGAGGTCAGTTTCCTTCTGCCCACTAGCATCCCAGAAAGGGTCAGTCTGGCTGAGGCAGGACAGTCAGGCAGGATGTGTCCCCACAGAAACATGATGGAGGGTGATGAAGTCCTTGGGAACATCCTTGAAGCTCGGGGTCTGCCACACTTTGACAATGACAAGCCCTTTCCTGCTGACTCTTGGAGTAGGTAGATCTTTGGGGGCAGGGGGTGAGTTTGCAATGTTTAAATGAGATGCTACAGTGCCCTGCTTTGCACAGCCACCTGGCTCCACTAAATACTTAGGAGGACCATGTGGATGGGAGTTGGCAGCCACCCACATCAGATGCCCCTACCCTTCTTGGGACTTCTAAGACACCTGCACTCTTGCAGATGCCCCTCCCCAGCCCAACGTGCCCTAGACATCCAAAGCACTGGGATCAGAGCTTGCTCCCTCCAGCTTTCTGGCAGAGCAGGCCAGCTGTGGAGACTGCCTGGAGGAGGTACCAAGTGGTCAGACTCAGAGGACAGACACCGCCGCTAGAGAAGGCCCCCTATTCCCGGCTGTGTACAAAGGACAGAATGGAGTGTGGAAGAACAGGGGCCAGGGGACCACAAATGCACAAAGGCCCTGTCCTTCTTCCAAAGCAGCCTGAGAAAGCTCCTAGGAGACCTGGGGTGAGAGGCAGAGAAGCAGATGGGTGTGTGAGATGTCGTGGGGAACAGAGGCCAGGCCCCTTCATGGCCACTCTCCAGCCCCAGTCTTGTACGGAGTGCGGCATACTTACTGCCAAAGGCGGAGCCCGCAGCAGCACCTGTAGGGGCACAAGAGGGTAACAGTGTCAGACATAAGGCCTGCTCCCCCCTCCCCCGGCACAGGACATTGTACAAGGCAGGGGAGCCTACAGAGGCGTCCTCCAGCCCCACTAAAGCGAAGGAGACTTAGAGGGCCTGAGAATCTGCCAGATCACAGGGGCAGCCTCTGGGCTCACACCTATGGGGACTCTCACCCCTGACTGTCTGAAGGAACACTGTGAACCGTTTCTTCCCCAGGACACTGTGACAAGCATCCCCTCCTGTTTAGCCCCAACTTTCAGGATCCCTAAGGCAGGATAATGTCCTCATGGACAGAGACAGCAGCAGGGAATAGGAGGTGTGGCCTGCCGGGAGATATGGTGGTGTGTGAGGCTGAATCAGGCCTCTCAGTGTTCTGTGCCTCTGTGGGGAAGGAAGCCTGGGGCTGGTTTAAGCAGTGATGTCACCATCCCTGAGTAGAACGGTTACAGTCACAAAAGGAAGGAGTCCACCACGGCCTTTCCCTAGTTGGTTCTGAGAAGGGACCTCGGTGGGGACAGTGGGCTGCATGGGGCATGTGGTCCTCCTGGTCCCTACTCCAGTCTTTACCTACACACACCTCCAGGTACCACATGCATGAGAGCCGCAAGAGCTTGCGAGTGTGGGAGCTGAGAGCAAGGACTCGTAGGTGCTAGAAGTGGGGTGCAGAGGCAAGGTGACCTCAGACTTTGGTCCTGAGGGTGGGAAAGGCACAGGCCTACAGTGGGACAATCCAGTCCCAAAAGACTGGATGCAAAAGACTTTAACTTTGGGGATAGGGAGTAAAGAGGGAGAGGGTAGGGTGATCTCACAGGGGCCTTGTATTTGGGGGGACTGACAACTTAGGTTTTCACTCCCAAGGCTTTGAAGTAGGTGGGCACCTCGGAGGGGGTGCTCCCTGTGATTGTAAAGAGGAGGTCCCAGAGAGGAGGTAGACAGAGGGAAGCAGGGGTGAGGCAGGGGAAAGTTCCCAAAGCAGAGAAGAGATAAGACGTACAATAAGGGTCTGTGAGTCTGTTTGGTAGGACATGGGGACAGTGGCCCCTTAGGTGATCTGCAGGTAGGAGTCTTGGTCCATGATGGTGGAGGTGACAGGTGGGAGGTGAGGAAGGAACCAAGCAGAAGTGATGGGGGTGGGGGATGGCTGTAGGGCAGATGGAGGGGGACAGCCCACCAGTGAGAAGTAGCAACAAGGACTAAAGGAAGGCTCAGGAGACAAAGAGATGAGGAGAGGCACCCAGGAGGAGGGAGCTGGATCGGGGGCAAGCCAGCAGCCCGCCAAGCCCCCTCTGTGCCTTTGAAGACCCCTGAGTGCCTCACGGTGCCTGGAGAGTCACCCCTTCAAAGGCTTGTCACAGTGCCGGCTGTAGCCCACGCACACCACGCCTGTCACCGTCTGCCTGCTGCAGCCTTCAGCTTTGATCAGTCTAAAGCCACATGAATCTTTTAGGGGTGAGGGAGGGTGCCAGATGGGACATGTGGTTTGGGAACTACGTGGACCCTGGCTTTGTCACTGGCTCCCACGTTGGCTGGGACTGGGTGTGGAACCAGGAGGGCACTGGGCTGGCTGGGCCTCTGGGTGCTCATCTGGGGGGTGGGTGGTAGGCATGGCACTGCCATGGTATTGTAAGGGCTCAGGGAAGCCACGTGTGGCAACTGATCCTGGTGCAGCCTCAATCTGAAGCAGGTCATTTGGTGCATTTCACGTGTCAAGGGTCTGAGCAGGCAGCCTAGGCTCGCCTCTGTTTGCATCCCAGAGACCTGTGGGAGCTGTGGTTTCATGAAGCCTGTTCTGGGGTCCCCCGTGCACGAGGGCCCCTCAAAGGGTGCTCATGGTGCAGACGTGTGGGGGAAACTCTCTCGTGCTTCCCTCGATAGCTGAGTGAAGTGGGAACAAGACTGGGCTGAGAGCGGGGCTCAGACAAGCGTCTCAAAGGACACTTCTGCAAAACGTGAAAGTTAGCACTTGCTGGAGCTGGGCTGGGGGTGCAGTGCCAGAAGCACCATGTGACGTGCTGCATACACCCCATAAGCACTCACTGTTAGGGGCATTCGCCTGTACCGCCCGTCCTGCATCTCCACGGGGTCTCCTGCCCTGCTCTCAGAGTGGAGAAGGGTGGCAAGATGCTGAGAAGCCCAAGCTGGGTCGGCCCTGCCTGCGACTGGTGCTGAAAATGCAGCCTAGAAGACATGGAGGAAGGCAGCTGGGGGGTCAACATGCGTGTGTACCCACGCCAGCTGCCCCTCCTCTGTGTATGTGTGTGTGTGTGTGTGTGTGTGTGTGTGTGTGTGTGTGTGTGTGTGTGCGCGCGCGCGCGCATGCGTGTGCGTCAGTCGCGGGGCACAGGATGAGGACCACCACTGGGTTGGCTGCATACGTACAGGCGTTGGGAGAGCCGTGGGGCAGCGGCAGGTAGGAGCCAGCTCGCCAGGCCCGGGTACGGAAGTTCTTCTTGCACTTGCCACAGTCAGGGCCTGTGGTGTTGTGTTCACACTCACACTGCAGGCTGCCCTCGCGCACTGTGCACAGGTTGGCGTGCAGGTTGCACTTGCACCTGAGGAGACCAGAGGATGGGGAGGTCAGAGGCTCCAAGGCAGGTCACTTGGCCTCTGGCGAAGTCACGAACTCGGGAGCAGGAGTGGCCAGGACGGTGCTGGGCTGGCCTGGAAGGGACCCTGGAGGCCAGTGGTTCATCGCACACTCAGACTCTCCTTCAGGACAAAGAGGGCAGACGCCCACTCCCGTGGTTTGGAGACCTCTCCCAGCCCGGGGTGCTCTGGACCCCCTGAGGTTGGCTCTGCTGCCCTCTGTGGATTCCTGGACTTCTGCTCTTGGGTGGCGAGAGACTCCCTTATGCCAGACGTTTCAGCAACCTGACAAGCTTAACTCCTTTTTATATTAATTGGTTAATTAATTTTTTTGAGACAGGGTTTCTCTGTGTAGCCCTGGTTGTCCCGGAACTAGCTCTGTAGACCAAACTGGCCTTGAAGTCAGAGATCCTCCTGTCTCTGCCTCCTGAGCGCTGGAATTAAAGGCATACACCACCACTACCACCAGGCTTATTTTTTATTTTTTTGAGAGAGCATCTCACATAGCCCAGGCTGGCCTTGAATTAGCTATATAGCCAAGGTAGACCTTGAACTTCTGATCTTCCCATATCCAACCCCCAAGAGCTAGGAGTATAGGTATTGGCTCGCACATGCATTTTTAAAAGTTAAATTAATCCAGTGTGTGCGTGCGTGTGTGTGTGTGTGTGTGTGTGTGTGTGTGTGTGTGTGTGTGTGTGTGTGTGTCACAGCATTGGCGTGAAAGACAGAGAATAACATTTTGGAGATGGTTCTCCCTTCCAATATGTGGAGCCTGGGGATGACACTTGGGTCATCAAGCTTGGATCCAGCTGCCTTTCCAGGCTGCACCATCTCTGCATTCCAGCGCCACACTCCGTGTGTGTGTGTGTGTGTGTGTGTGTGTGTGTGTGTGTGTGTGTGTGTGCTGGTGATTGAACCCAAGACTTTACGCACACACGGTGAACCCTCAACCCACTAAGCCACATCTCCATGCCCACCTTAGCTCTTACTGAGGTAGGTAGACAGGTGACAGGTAGTGAGCCCCAGCAACTCCTGTCCATACAGAGTCCTGGCTGAAGGATACAGAAGACCCAGGCACTTGAGGGTGACAGAAAGACCTCAGCTCCTCAGCCCTGTCAAGTCACCTACACATGTATTATTCACCATTTATTCAAATATTCATAGGCAGCTCATCATTGTGCAAACTGGTAAATAAAGAGAAAGCAATAAGCATGGATTCTGCCTGTCCTCCATAAGCTCTACCTCAGGGTAACCTAACGTCAATGAGGGTATATTCCTTCTTACAGAAACACTTCATGATAGAACTGGGGAACCCCAGCCAGGCAGTGACAGTGCACGCCTTTAATCCCAGTACTCAGGAAGCAGAGGCAGGTGAATCTCTGTGAGTTCGAGGCCAGCCTGGGCTACAGAGTGAGATCCAGGAAAGACTTCAAAAGATACACAGAGAAACCCTGTCTCGAAAAACCAAAAAAAAAAAAAAAAAAAAAAAAAAAAAGAACTAGGGACCTGGAAGGCTGCAGACACTGAGTCATAACAGCTCAGACACAGCTGGACACAAACAGTGAACTTTCTAGATCATTCACCACTGGAGTAGAACTTGAATCAGACCAAAATCTGGGCCCGAAACGCCGAGGACAGAGCCCCAGGCTGAATGCCACCGAGTAGGATGCAGCCCACACAGTGAAGGCACGCACTTGGCTGCCCGATGATGGGTGGCAGAGGGTGAAGACGGATACAAAGGAAGGGGACCCCAGCAATCCCTGGAGGAACCCCGAAGGCTTGTCAGTCCAGGGCCAAGTGCGCACCTGGCTGGGCCGTGGTGGAAACACACTCAGACGAAGGCCAGGTGTACCTAGAGGGCACATGGCAATTGATACCAAGGGCATTTATATATCACTACTTAGCCGCTGTCACGGTGCTGTAGAACACTGGTTCTTAAAGTCTCTGTCTTCCAGAGAAATCCAGAAATATTTACAAGTGCAGTTACGGGACCGTTGAGAGTGACTTTTGGGTGAGAGAAGGGCCGCACAGCAGAGACACTGAGGAAAAAGAAGCCCTCAGATGGCTGCTGGAGCAGGAGGCTCTCTTTGTATGTGTGGGGGGTGGGAATGTGAAGTTCTTCACAGCCCCAAGTCAGAGAGAGCTCACAGGATGGTGCACACCTGCCACCCCTGGTGTTCAGAAGGCTGAGGCAGGAGGATCTCAAGTTTCAGGTCAGCCAGGGCTATGGAGCCTTTGTCCAGAAAACCCAGCCAAACCCACAAAATTCGTGGGGAGTTGGGGAGGCAAGCAGGTGTGTGTGAGCACAAGCCTGCCTTTTCCTGAGATGGGCAGACTCCCAAGATAAACTGTTGATATTTGGAAAAAGCAAATTGCCGACTGGTAGGCTGAATGGAGTTGTATTTTTATTAAAATATGCAAGGAAAAATCTTTCTAGGGCAGCAGTACTGTGGCTGGCTCTGAGTTGGGGAGTTAAATGGTTGGTAAAGAAGATGGGGTGCCCTGCTCTGATGGGCTCCAGGTTAACTAGGAAATGATAAGAAAGGTCAGTGATGAGTGGGCAGTGCCCGGGGAGGGGACAGAAGGGGGGACAAACAGTGCACAGGGCGTTTCAGGACAGAGAAACTGGGCCTGAGGAGGCTGTGACAGGGGCGTGCCAGAGTTCCAGGGAGCCTGGCAAAAGCTGGACTTCAGTTAACAAGCGTGCCCACGATGGTGACAGCCACACCACGGAAGTGTGAGATGGTGAGCCTGTCACGCACTGTAGGGACAGGGGTACTTAGGAGCTGGGGCTGCCTTCCTGCCTGTCTGCAAACCTGCTCCATAAACAGCAGGATTAGTAAGTAAGGGCCGGTGTCCAGCTCCTCAGTTATGCTTGCCAACTGTTGTGGGAAATTCTACCCAAGGGGTTGCTGACTTAGTCTGGGGGCTAAAGGACAGTCTAGAAGGGGGGAAACTTCTAGAAAGAGCAAGAGCATGAGGAGGTTCCTGGGATGGAGGTGGTTGGGGGTGTCTTACTGGGGCACAGTGGGCTAGTTGACATTTTACAGCACTATGGCTGCTCTGGGCACGTGGATTTGTCTGGGCACCAGAGCCAAGGCCAGAAACTAGCAGGCATCTCGGGTCCTGTCATACCTGGTGACAGCATCGTCTCATAGAGACTATTGCTGGGATCTGTGGAGTGGCATGCCAAGCCCTGGGGTCTATGCTCAGCATGGGCTTGGGGAAGATGTCTGCTGAATCTTTTCCTCTCCTCATGTTCCCTATGCCAGCCTGGGCTGAGTGATGCTCCGTGTTTTCAACACCCCACTCCTTACATTCTCCCAGGAGGCCCATCACCCCTGTCCTCCTCATGTCCACACTTTGTGCAGCTAACACCCCTTGGAATTTCAGCCTGGTCAGACCCTTCATCATGTCTTCTTATCTCTGCCTCTCTCTTTCTTGCGTCCCCCTCACCAGGAACAGGGCTCACCAGGGGAACACCTTCTGGGGCAGGGATGTGGGAGGCAAACCCCACCAAACACCCACTATCTGCTGGACTGTCCAGGCTGCTTGCCTTCCATGGCCTCCTGCATTCACACCATCCTGATATGTAAGAGAATTTAGGGTACAGGAGGCCCCTAGTTATGTTTTCTCCCTCAGTCTTTTGACTTTACAATGGGCAGAGGCATACCCAGAACTCAATAAACTTCAGCTATTTGATGGTTTGTTATAAGATAAGCTTAGTGTGTGGCGATTCTATCCAACCATGGCTAATTAATGGGAATGTTGTGAATGTGCTTAAGGTAGGCTACACTAGGTTGTGATGTTCGGTTGCTGAGGCTCCATCAGAACACAACTCCATTGGAAATTAAAGTGCTATACATTCAAGTGATGGAATATTACCCAGTCATGAATGCACATGTCGAGGACTATTTCTGGCTGCAAGGACCATTCCAAATGTGAGGGCGAAAGGCCACAGTTCCCAAATGCTCTCATTCTACTCTCTACTGTCATCTTCCTCTTACAGATGAGGACATGGAGCCAGAATCCAACTCCAGAGGTCACAGGGTTCGCACAGGATAGAGCATGGATTATGACAAAGGAAGACACCAGAGTGCTCACAGTGAAGCCCCCACTTCTATAGCCCAGTGGAGAGCTCATGCCTGTAATCAGCACTGAGTCAGGAGGATTGCCACAAGTTTAAGCCCAGCCTGGGCTATGAAGTGAGTTTCAGGTCAGCCTGAACTACATTGTGATACCCTGTCTCACCTCCACCCAAATTACACACAGACACACAGACACACACACACACACACACACACACCCTGTACCCTAAAACCCAAAAAGAAAGACAAGTAGTGGAAGGAGGGGCAGGATTACAATGGTTTCTATTTTCTTCTCTGTCAGTTTTTCCTCTCCAGACATAGTCTTGTGTATCCCAGGCCTCTAACTCCCTAAGCAGCTAAAGATGACCCCAACTTCTGATCCTTCCTCCACCTCCAGAGTGCTGCGATCACAGGCCAACATCACTACCCAGTTTGTGCAGTGCCGGGGAATGGAACCCAGGGCTTCATGCATGCCAGGTGAGCGCTCTATCCACTGAGCCACATCCCAGCTTTTTAGACTCTCTAGGTTCACACTGACACACTCTTTGGCAGAGCAGAGGATTTGGGTGCATATGGCAACACTTTTCCAAATGATCTTGCAACATGAATCACATAGAACACACTGGTCCAAATCATTGGAAGGTCTGGATTAGACTGGCCTATATCATAGCTGTTTTGTACTGAATATTAACTGATGCAGGAGGGCTCAGTCTATGGTAGGCAGCACCATTCCCTGGGCAGGTGGGACTTTATAAGGATGCTAGTTAAGCTATGTTAGTCTGCTGGACTCCTGTGGTGGGAGGTAATCTTGTGTGAAATCACAAAGCCTCACTTCATGCTTGAACTTCTCATAATGATGAACTGTGACCTGGAAGTGT